AAAAAGAACGATATTCATAGGAGCACTTATATCACTTGTCATTTCGCCGTTCCTGAGCGCGCGAAATTTCAGCCCTATCATTTGTGGAAAATAATCGCTTCTAATTTAAAAACTATTATAGCCTCGACACTTTTGTATTAGGATTTTCGTCTGGAAATGTTCTAAGGAATCTGTCATTAAGAGGACCTCCGGTGGTTTTAGGACACCCTGTATATATATATATATATACATATATACTCGTGTAAAAAATATTCTTATCGACTCCTTATCAACTTTTCGTTGTTAAAGCGAATTTCATCAGAATGCTAAGAAATTGCTAACCGTAAAATTGCGTAATTGAATCGCAACGCATACGAGTAAATATTATTCGCATGTAATATAAAATGTACGCGTAAATATTATACCGTTAACGTTGGACGATGACAATTATCACCGGTTTTCAACAACGTCGTGTAACTTGTTAGCTTCTATTGCTAAAGGAACAGTTAGAAAGAGGTAAAGGATGAATTAAACTAAGATCAAAGTTGGACGACGTTGGCGAAAACCGGATTCAGACAGTTATTTCACAAGATATCGTTTCATAAGCACATCGAAGGCACGTAACAAATCGGTCATTTGCATTAGCGATGTATAGTCACGATGTATATTTTCTTATTTCGAACGAATCTCTTGTTATCAAGACTTAGTTAGGCTTACAATTAGTTGAACTAACGTCGGTGCAGGATCGACGATTTTTTTCTAAATTGGATCGCTTTCGTCGCGTCTATTCCTCAGACATAGTCGCGACGCGTCCGCTAATTCCGTCAACAGGAGAGTCTGCGAATCGGGAGGGCTTGTCGGTTCATTTCCGTTTAGGCCACTTGCGCTCCGAACGAGTCTACGGATACGCCTCTGATGCTTCCTCTCGGTCTTCAATTTTGTAAATTCACTCTGGGCGCCCTCGCTGGAGCACGAGGAGCTCGTGGTGCTAGGCAGGTCGTCGTTTATCCCGCTGCCGGTGTAGCTCGCTGGTTCGTAAGTGGCGCTCGACCTCATCGATTGCGTGGACGCCTGTGTCCTGAGATCAAAGTCAATTTTATCAAAGATCAGTCTCCCTCTAATTATAATTATTATAAATAGAATAAAATTTTATTTTCAAGTCTCCAATCGAGTTCGATTCTACGGAAACGCCAATGGAATTTGATTCTAATAAAATATTAGACTGATAAATTTTCAGACAATCCACACTTGGTACGACGCAGTCGCGAGTTTTCTGATATAAATTTATAACAATTATTGAAAGTCGTTCGAATTAGTTTCGGATTTATCGTCTACCTTAAATTCTGTCTTTCGCGCGCGGATTCCGCACTGCCGGCTATTGTCGCTCCGCGTGCGGGTGCGCTCCTCGAGAATATCTCACGGTTGTGAGACTGACTGGCGGCAGGAACATCGACGGGATCACTGGGCGGTGGCGGGCCTTGCGGAAATATGCTTTGTACGTGAGGCCGGCTTTCGTTCGATTGTTTCATCGATGTCAATGTCATCTGCTCGTCCACTTCCTCTATGACGCCTATCCTCATGGAGCCACCTGCAGCTGTGGCATTAGCATTGTATTCTATTTTCTCAGTCAAGCTCGTTTTAACGCGACACTTTACGTTAAACGAGCAACGTACCGGGTAGTCGTGTCTGCAACGAAGCCGTTGAACCTGTGCTCGGCATTTTTCCCGAAGCTTTGGCGGCGGCACTCGTGGTGCCTCCGTCAATCCTGTCGTCTTTGCTAAACAATCGCTTAAGTACGCTGGTAACGCTGCTCACCCTCGTGAGCGATTCGCCCAAATTGCTGGGAGTAGAGCCACCGCTGAGAGTGCGTTCTCGATTACTCACTCTGCTGGCGCTTCTAATTAGAAAATTCACCCAACTTAGAATCGTGAAAGTAAGCCATTTTCACACACATCGATATTACGTTATAAATTGTCATTGTTTGAAAGTCCGACTTATTTAATGTAGATGAAAGTATTTAATTGTTGTACTTCGAATTCCAACAAGTCTTTCTCTTCGCTTCTCATATATCGCACGGTATAAATAGCTACCTTATTAATCTCCCGGTGCTGGCTGTATTGCTTCTGAATTTGCGTTAAAAATAATTGTGAGACGTGAATAATGTACTTGACACTGAATTTAAATAAGAAACATTTGGAAAACTAAGTAATCTCTACGCTTACCGGGACAGCTTTCCGCTCGCGGTGAAATGTATTCCCGACGCGGCATCGTCGGCGATGTCGGAGCGGAATTTTATGTCGTCCGGCACCATGTCATCGATCTTGACAGACGACGGTTGCAGCTCTTGTTGCGCGGCGGACAATTGTATACCGGCTGTTGAGGGTTCGGGCGGTTGCTCGCGGTAGGGTTGCGACGCGGCAGTGTACGGCAGCTCCGTGGGGAAGATTTCGTCCCAATACTGATCGCGTATGAGTTCAGGATGTTCGTGATGCATCTCGTCGACGATTAGGTAGCTCACCTTGAGAGCGAAGAAACGACCGCGTTATGATCTCTGAAGTTTTAAGAGAGGGAGGGGAGAGAGAGAGAGAACAAACGACAAGCAGTTCTTACTTGCAAATTGCGATCGATTAGCCAGTTCACTTCGAAATCGTCGTCGTCTTCGCCGAACGGATTGATCAATGTCTCGGCCACTTTCAGCCAACCCATGTAGAAGAAGAATTGCAATGTCGCGAATACTGGGAAGTACAGATCGATGTTAGAGTTCGACTTTTGAACCCACTGACGACCCATTACGGAGGTCAGGAAATACGTATATACGGCTAATGTTACGACCTAGAGTAAAAACGTAATTTGGAGTTAGAATGCTTCTTCAAAGTTTATTGATCCTTTGCACTCCTACGTCGAGCTAAGCTTAATGCCTCGCGGTAGTTTGTCGTGTAGTATTCCAAGTAATTAAGTCGGTGAGATTACAATTGACAAATTACTTTTAGAATCTTCATCGGTTTCTTCAAATAATAAAAATTCTTTCATTCTCGACACAGGATTAAGTATCGCACTTAATTTTATTCTTGTAGCAATTGATCACTTCTCCGCTAGGTGAATTGCTATAGCATTGTCTTTCGCGGTTATTAATTTAAATATATCTACCTGGGTGTACACTAACGGCACGCTGATCGTGTCGTAGTGCGATATACTGCCGCACATCCCGCGGAACTTGTTCAGCTCGTCGATGAGAGTTTTCACCGCGAAATCGTCGCGTATCCGGCCCTCCTTCCGAGCTCGGGTCACGATGCTGGAAGCCCAAACTATCGGCAGCCAATGCTTGCTCGGCTTTGGGAATTTCGCGTTTAAACTTTCAAATATCGATAACTCGTTTTCCAGCAATAAACCGCTGTCTACGAGATGCTCCAGAGTGGGAAATCTCTTCTTCACGCGCGGCGCGACGTTCGTTAGGACCATGGTCAAACAGACGCACACGTATCTGAGAAAACAGAATTTACAACTTATTGGGAGAAGGAAAATCTAACGTGAAACTTGCTACATAACATATGATAACGCGCCAATGTGGGTCACAAGGCAGGATGTAGGTAGCCCAACTTGTAAATTTTCTGAAAATCGTCAATCTATATACCGTTTCTTTCCACATTGGTTCAACGCCAGATCAGAACCAATGTGGAAGAAACGGTATATAGATTGACGATTTTCAGAAAATTTACAAGTTGGGCTACCTACATCCTGCCTTGTGACCCACATTGGCGCGTTCTCATATATTGTTTAGTTTTAGATAGGGGTCTTAGTTGAAAGTTTATTACAACACATAAAATTCGTACGAAATCATTTCTTTAAATTTCTTTCTACGACGTTAAATATTACTTAACGACACGCTTTTAATGAATTTGATACTTGTATAACAAATTATATGTGTGCTCTAATTGGAACACCGGTCTTTTGAGAGAAAGAACAAGAGTCGTGTCTTTCTTTCGCAGCTCAAGTCGAGTGTTCCGGGCGTATGGTTGTGGCTTATAACTTTACATTGCACGAGATACCTAACTATCGTCCGACGCATTAGACGACCACGCTCGTCGTTCCCGTGTATAGTAGACGAGACGAAGACCGCGATGGAATCAGGCCATGGTATCGTCATGTATTGATTCCACCACCTGGTCATAACGATACTGACATAGAAACCCAGGACAAATGACAATGGTATCAGCTCGCTGTACTCGTTGCAGTACGCCACCACGGACTCGAATGTCCTCTTCTGCTCTTCGTTCAGCAGAAATCGGTAGATGCCGGACAGGGAGTAGTAGATGAAGAGGAAGAGCGTCAGGTCGATCCAGACGAGTTTGTAAACACTCGCTCGCCATCTGAAACGAATCGCGCGGCTCGTTAATCGGAAGCAGACACGCCGGGAACATCTGTCGGGAGCGACGATTGTCCCGCGACGAGCGAGATCTCGTCTCTACACGGCGGGTGGGGAAAAATCGCGACAGTGATAGTGCGCTTTGGAATCTGATGAATTTAAGTATTAAAATCACGAAGCGATAAAGCGCGATAACGTTACTTGGCGTGCGCTGTTATCGAGCCAAAAGTCAATAATCGTACTCCACATTCGCTTGGATTGTTAGTCGCTCACCGCCAGCGTCGGCATGTTTGAGGTGCGTCAACTTTCGATGACGAAGAGCGCGTCGTGTTTTTATGCAAACACGTCGGAAATGTCCGCCACCCGTTATTTGCAATTGGATGTATTCCAACGTAATTCGCTCTACTATTCTCAGCGCGATTCACTCGTGAATATCATTGACATTTACAAGCCCACAGCCGCGTTACGCGAAACGATTAATAAAATGAGAAACCATTTATCACGTACAAGTCATATATGTATGTAAGTAGTCGTATCTTATATGTCAGCTTTATTTATATTTCAATCGAAGATGAAAAATAAAAACGAGAGTAAAACGTTGTGTGACAATACAGACATCGAAAGTAACAATAAAATTTCGGTGAAAATGTTGACATTGCGGCAAAGTAGAAAAATTAAAAGTAAAGTAAAAAAGATTAACAAGAGTAAAGACTTACAATTAGTGTCGCCAGCTGGCAAATTCTAATTAAAGAAATTTATTGTGAAAAACATTACCTCAGCCAGGTTGAAACAGCCTTGACCTCCCTGCACTGTAGGCGGGCGTCTAGAATGTTCTAGGGAGGTCCAGGTTCGAATCCTGGCTGAGGTGAATTTTTCGCAATGAACTTGTTTAATTAGAATTTGCCAGTTTTGTCGATTATTAATTTCCTACGAGATTAGTTGAACGACAAAATATCTCTTCGCGCGAAAAGTAGTTGAAAGCTTTTAGCAAAGGAAACGCCCTAGATGACAATTATAGCTCATTCGAGAGTCACGAGTGCAGGTAAAAAGGCGAAAGTCTCACCTTATCAGCAATTTGAGGAAGCAACCGAGGCCCCTGCAAGTGGCTACCTCGGCGGTGTAGCTGACAGTCATCTCTCATTCGGCACGTGAAACGCGTTCCACGTGGCTGCTCTTTCCCTTACTCAACACCAAGTGCCTCGCACCTTCGTCGGCCAAAACCTCGTGGCATCTCCCAGAGCGTCCCAGAGGCCTCTTCGGCGAAATGATAACCGGGCGCGACAGCTAAGTGTCAGCTCCTCTTCGGCATCATCTCCGGCCGCGCTTCCTCGAAGTAGCCAAGTTGACGGTCCACCGGTAAGAGATCACCAAGGTCATCGTTTACACGATCGAGCCGCCGCTGACGCGATTATGTAAGCTGTATCAACAGAGGCGGGACAAAACTCGTTAGCTCCAATACACGCACTTTTCGTGTTTTGCGATCAATAAGGCTATTGTTTGAAAAAATCTATTCTCGTATCTGCCTCGGTCTTTCGTCTGCGAGACTATGCGCCAGGTATGTTCGCCACGTGTGGCAATGCGAAATGAACTTGGCGCAGCCTCACGTGTTGCCCTTCGTCACAGGTTTATAAATTTACTACGCGCTGTTATCGATGCCTTTTATCATACGTTATCAGGCCCCGACAGACTCGTAAATTTACCGTGAAAATTCACCCCGATAACGGAAGTTAGAGTGTGAATTTAACTAAAAGGTTCTCACGGGAGAACTTATCGTCTCAGATATAACTGAAAGGGATTATCGAGGGGATTATTAGTTTCCCCGTTATCTCGTTTTCCGATACGACGTATCGGTCAATGCTTCCTTCGAAACGTAGACATTCATTTACGCTGTAGAATTATAGGATTGTATCTTTTTTTATTAAAATATCTCCCGGTATCTCGCGACCTTCGATCAAATTGATTTTCTAAGATCAGATTTTGTTCGAAATTAAAGGATAAATATGTAAAGCTCTAATACAGAAATTTGTTTAAAATTGCTCGAGAAAACGGCTGATTCGTGTAATATCAAAGATCGTCCGAACCAAGGGCATTAATTGCGTGTGTCGAACGATTTATCTGCAAGTGTCGGAGCAGTAATTTTCCCCATTAAAAGATAAATGTTTTCCTCATGCAGTACCCATCAAGCATAAAGATTCCGCGAATTGCTTGAGTTTCCAATCCGTGAGAAGCAGATTAATTAAAAGAGAATAAAAGGAGAAGAACACTCCGTGAAAAATTGAATGCTTCTCGGCGTCGATTAATTTACAGATTTTTTTATCTCTAGTTCCTTCATTAATTTTATACGCTCGCGCGCGCGCGCGCGCGCACGCACGGAGAGAATTTTCTCTTAAAATTTATCATGAAAATCATGCGATTGTGGGACAACATGGCATTTTGAACAACTTTATGAGAATTTTTTGAAAGCTTACCATCAGGAGAACACGGTAGTGTCTCGTGCCAAGTATAAGCGAAAACCGCGCGCGGTATTACAAATTATATCACATACTGTTCACAATTCTTAAAGCTTTTTTTTTAAATTCTTAAAGTAAGGTTTTCCTTAAAAAAACTTTTCGTGTTTCTCATTTTTCTAAAGTAAAATTTTCAGGTTTTCCAAGATATATTTTCCCAAGGGAAGACGACGAGGGGGAAACCGCTGACCAAAATCTTGTACACCAATGCCCACTAATGCCCAGTGGGCATTACTTTATCTTATTATCTTCTTTTATCTTATTTATCTTGTTTTATCTTATTTTATCTTATTGTATCTTATTTTATCTTATTTTATCTTTATAATGCCTCAGCAAGACGTAATGCCCCAAAAATGCCCTAGTAATGCCCGGTAATGCCGCAAATCTGTACACCACAATGCCTTCAGCGGTTTCCCCCTCGGAAGACGAGTGAAATTCAAAGCAATTGTAATAGGTTTTTTTTTTTAGTAAGAAATGCGTTGTAATGGGTTGATTTCCACGTGACATTCAACTGCACCGTCAGTGCTACTTCGCGATCAATACAATTCAGTAGATATACGTAGAATCATGTAGGCGTAGGTTAAAATCAGTAGGGAACAGAGTGCAGAAATTTTCAATTCAACCTTTTACCTTGCCGCCCAATCATCGCGATTCCCTTTAATCCGTGCGTACACAGTTGGAAAATTTGTGTTTTCTTGTTAAAAAAGATGCCGGTTAAACTTTTTGTGTTAAATGTCTAACACATTCATGCGTTAATTTAACATATTGCTCTTGTGTTAATTGACTTTAAATGTAAGATTATTAAAATAACTGAAAAGAAATGTTAAAACAACACAATGTATACTTTTTAAACTGACATATATGTTAATTTTGCACAAAATTTATTTCAAATTATTTTAAGATTTGCATTTACGTGTTAAAATATTAACAGAGTTAATGTGATTATTTAACTTATCCATATTATATTAACACAAAAATTTGTTAAATCTGTTAAATTTAACACAAACTTTTCCACCTGTGTAGAACAAAAATGCGTACAAGTGTGTAGACGTAGATCGAGATCGGTAGGGAAGAGAATGGAGAAATTTCCAATTCAATCTTTTATCGTCGTCTCAATTTCAATCTCTCATCTCTGCGGGGAATTTCCGCATTTCTTCAAGTCTCATTCGTCCTTGCGCGCGTCTCGTTATCACGAGGGTACGTTACCGCGAGCGTTACGCCACGCCGAAGTGCAGTCGGCACCGCGTGCTGGCGACCGCCAGTCTCGGTCAATCCTCGAAAGTATCACGAAACTGTAGTTGACGTCATTGTGTAGCATGACGAATACCGATAACACAATGTAATCGCGCATCAAGCCGGATCAAGCAATTAGCAGATCACACTTTACTCCCATCGCCGCCGGCTCAAACGCGCTCGTGCATCATTAAATGCGCAAGTTGCAAAATAAGGGAAAGGAAAAAAAAAAAGAGCGGCAGTTGCGACGTAACGTTATTTACATGCAACGGGAACGAAATTGCACAGTTGATTCTCCAAGTTTGCCCCGATCGAGGTATCTTATCGTGCGCCTCAAGCCAGTCGACTTGAGAACAAACGCCGATGTTGTCTTCCCACACGAATCGTTTCGGATCTCGCTTTCGTAATTGCGGAATAAAATAAAATTGCGTTCCGGGAAATTATCTCGCGGCGAGATCGAATAGCGCGTCGTATACGTGACAGTTGCAAGTGTTGGGCAATTTTCACCTTGGACTCCGCGTGTCACGAGACGCACACAGACACTGCATAGATGCGATCGTAAAATTCATCATTCCGACCGTGACTCGCCGGGCGTCAGCTGTTGTCGGTCGCATAGAAGATCGCGATAAGATCGATAACAAATAGATTACGAATGTAATCAACGAGCGTACCAGCGCAGCACCGATGTAAACGAATCGAAGCGAAAGCAGGTAGCTCGTAGACGCCGACAGAAGGATTTCAGGAGGACAAAGAGGAACGAGAGAGCGAGTTCCAGCGTGGGTCCAGCGTGGAAACGTCCGCGTCCTTTCTCCGCTCGCCACCTCGCCGCGACGATCGATGTGCCACTCAATTTTTGCGGATGTTAACGCGCGCGACGACACGCGGGACGCGGCACCTCGGCCCGGGACAAAAGGACGCGCGAGGAACGTCCGCGCTGCGTCGTCAGACGAACAATCACCAGCCAGTACTGAGGCAACAGCCGCCGCAGTACGCCATCTCCTCGGTCCCCTGCGCTTCCCGCCACGAGTCCATCCCCTCCGTCGTGCCGTATTTCCGCATGAGTCAGTGGTGCTCACAGCTGATTGCGGGCCGCCGTATTCTCTCGGCGCAACGCTCGTTGTTGCACGCACGCCGCTCGCTCGCTCGCGAACGCTCCGGCGCTCTCGGCAGAGGCCTAGCTCCGTTTACCGTTATCGATTACCCCACGAGAGATCACGCGAGCCTCGAGTAAAATCGGTTCCGCGAATAACATGCGCGACCGCTCGCGCATTTCTAGAGAACCGCAAGTCTTTCAAAGTCTGTCTCTCTCTCTCTTTCTTTTCATCCTTCAAATCTTTATGTTCGATCGCCGATAGTCATCCCGGCTTATTCAAACCTTTCGTCTCCGCCTTTATTTAAAAAGCAGCTACACGCAGCGACCGCGAACGCACGCGAAGAAATTCTCTTGTTTGTTTTTACGTGGCTCGCCAAATTTACCGATGGCTCCGGCGAGTGTACGCATTACACCAGTAATACATTAGTTGCGCGTTGACGGATGACTAGATGTTTACACAGGGATGGTAAAATAGTGACGGATCAACTGGCGGGTTAACAGAAACGAAATGCGGACAAGTTAAACTGACGGTTGATTTCTCGTTTAATACTCTCCTTACATCGGTAAACGCACACAACAATAATTCGATCGTTATCAAAATACTATAGATAGCACAACGGCGTGTTATCGATATAACATTCAATATGCATTATCTAAATTAACATTTCTAAATCGTTATCTCTCACAATGCTCTTCCTCGGGTGTTACAACAGGTAGCGGTAACGTAACAACGGGCGTACAACGGAGCCCGTGTGTATCTTAACGTGATAATTTTTATGAGGCATCCCGTTGATCTCGCGAATCGACCGGAAATAGGAGAAACTCGGCGCGGTCACGGTTCTTTAAGCGCCCGCGCCCGCTTCCTGCTATTCGCTTTACGAATGACGCGACGTTTAAAACGAACAACTAAAAACTTACTTAAAAAATAATTCGGTTTAATATATAAAATCTCTCTCTCTCTCTCTCTCTCTCTCTCTCTCTCTCTCTCTCTCTCTCTCTCTCTCTCTCGGCGGTTATAAAATATATCTCGTATATACACGTATACTTTGCACTCTTTTTCTTTTACAACACCTTTGTACACTTATTCTCGAAGGTATATGAACAAACTAGAAGTTGATATATATACATGTATATCCGTCTGTCTCTAACGTTGGTCTTCCATTATGGACCCACACTCGAAGGTAGAAGTCGCAGATGCGCGACTCGAGTGAAGTTCTAGGTCGAGAAAAATAAGGAGGAAATACTTGAAGTAGCGCGGAGCATAGACTTTCACTCGAATCCGGCCCGCCTCGACGCGGTTGCAACGGTTACGCAGTCTTGGTCCCTAGAAGTCACAGCCATTAAATGCAACGAACGATCTGAGATTTAAGGCCACTCGATATTAAATCAGCCGCGATAACACGAACTCGGGAATGGCAATGTAGCTTTAGCGTTAACGCGATATCGGCAACGAGGACGCCCCTGCGGGCGCAAAGCGATGACGCGCATTGCATTTCGAACGACAAAGTATCTCGACGTTCTATATAATAATTTACATTGCATGAGTCGGTAGTAACGAGCGCGGTTTTTCACGCCCGATAGCGCCGACCATTAACTAGCTTTCCTCTCGTATCTACGTCATTAGAGCTACGATCTACAGAGGGCTAGGGGAATCGTCAACCAGAAATAATTAATACAGTCGGTTATGAGACAGGATTGTCAGCGTAAAACGGCTTTCGGAGATGAGAAGATTCTCCTCTCGGTGAAGGAACACTTTCGAGAATCGCAACAGCGAAAAGTTGTTCCCCAGTTTTCGGCGATTGGTCGATTGGTTTTCCACGTAATGAGATGGGCGCGCTTCATCTCTATCTGATTGTGTCTGTCACGCGACGATAGTCGTGAGAGCGTTGCTTTTACTTCCGTAGCTGCCGGGTCTGCAATGAATAAGTAATGACGCATAACACTCGAAAAGATGAACACTGTGGAACTTGCATTATTTAGACATTATTTAGGACATTATATAGAGTAGAATCAGATAGCGATGGGTGTAACTGGCGATAAATACCTGATAGTGGCATGTTGCGAGGAGCGCGACCATCCGGCGATGAAGTTGACTTCGCCTCTTCGACTGCTAATACGCTGCCGACGAACTTGACTATCACTTTTCGCGGCGATCCGCCGCGAGACAACGTGCATAGGGTCTGGCGCGATAGTGGACTGTATCGCTTTGTACACTAATCTGTGGTTGTAAAGAAGAATGCTATTCAATTTACATCAACTTGTAATTTGATTAAAAATTACATATTAATATATTTGATATAATAATTCACATTTACAACAATCCACACTCTTGGGATGATAAATGGAGTTTAGAATAAACGAATTAAATACAAACAAAACGCAGAGATACCGCCGGTTTAATTTTTCGCGGATTCGAATTAATATCGCTCCCACAATTACTGAACGGAGCGACGAATTAAATACAAACAAAGCACAGAGATACCGCCGGTTTAATTTTTCGCGGATTCGAATTAATATCGTTCCCACAATTACTACAGTCGCGTAATACAAGGCAAGCGTACCTGGGCATTAAGGCAAGAACAGAAGTAAGTCCCACTGTCAACCAGTATGTAACATGTGTGAAGGCCATTTCCATCACCCAGAAGGACCCGGGTAGGCCCATGCAATTGACGCAGACGGCATTGTAAAACAAGCAAAATCCGAAGAAAATGCCGAAAGAACCGAAGATGGCACCAACGTGGATTATAGTCTGAAATGAACAACGTTACACATTGCCCGTGACGTATCTCGCTTTTCTCTAACGTCGTTTATTCCTTCTTGCTTACCCAAGATCTAGTTTCTATAGCAGCATAAGCTAGCATAACGACGATGCACGTTGACATGATAGTCGTCCCGAATTCCCATATGTCGATAATCGAATCGTCGTAAACCTGAAAGACGGACGCTTATCTCGTATACTCTATATACCGTAACGATTGTTTCTGGCCCGTCAGAAGTGCCGCACCAATTTACCTCTTTGGTAATAAAAAATATGACGATACTTTGGTAAAGAGCGTCGACGATTGTGAGCCAAAACGAATGCGACTGATACACTAGTCCCAGGCGTCCCCTCGTATATAATTCCGGGGCTGCAAGTAACACGCGAGCCTTGGCGACTCGATCGTAAATACCTAAGGCGAGAGGTGGCAGCGAGGTGAACAGCAAGTTGTACAGCATTAAATATATTTGGTCTATCATCACGGCACCGGAAAAGCCGCAAAACAGCTGCGAGAGAAAAGAGGGAGAAAGCATATATTATAAAAAATATCTCTACTTGAAGTCTCGATAAGCCGTTGTTCCTTTCCATTCTTCTTTACATTCGATACTCACTTGAAACCAGAATATGAGGAAGACAAAGGTGGCGTTCTTGTAAAAGAAATATAAAATCATTCTGGCGAGACGATCGTAACACCAGTGGCCGTGTAGAAGAAGGAGCCGGCTGAGCATGGAAAATCGGGAAATTGCGAAATCCGCTGCCATCACCGCTTGCGTGCCTTCTTGCCCCGAGATACCGACACCCACGTCGGCCGTCTGTATCATGCTAACGTCGTTCGCGCCGTCGCCAATCGCCAGCGTTCTCATTCCCAATTGCTTCTTAACGATGCGGACTATGTATGCCTGTGATGTAAGACAAACTATGTATATCATTCTTCCTCGCGTTGTCGTTCTGGTTATTAGGTTGCGGCTAAGGTCCGTCCTGTTATACTTTGTTACCTTTTGCAACGGCGTGGCGCGGCAGGCCAAGACGCTAGAGCACATTTTCGTGAGCTCGAGGAACGGGCCGGTCAGGCCCGATCGCGGATCCATGATCACAGTCAACGTTTTGCCGTCGACGACGAGCGCCCGTTGCCGCGGCCACGGGCTGCCAATCCTGTGCGCGTCTCTCTCGGCGGAGTGGTGGTTGTACATGCCGGCGGGATCCGCGATGTCCATCATTTCCGGCCGCGAAAGGTCGGGGTTGACGCTCTCCTTGCGCGCTGACTCCAGGTAGCCGTGTATCAGCGTCTCGGCGACAGATTTCGATCTCGCCTGCAGCTGCAACAGCTGCATGGCGGGCGAGAAGAGCTGCGCCGAGTACGCCACGTTCACCGCGGTCTCCGGTTTGTCCCCTGAAACGGAAAACGCGAGCGTGCAACGTGACGTCGGGTTCGCATTAGCGCGCGCTAATTACGTTCAAGAACACGGACTGGTTCCGAGGGATGTTTACTTTTCATTGGCTTTCGATACGTTCGCCTCTGTAATTTTTTTATCCGCCGTCTTTATATAACGGCATTTATGTAATGGATAGGTGCAACACGCCGGCTACGTGGGGGAAATTTGCGATTCAATGCGCGAAACGCCTCGTGCATCTCTCCCTCCAAGATGACCGCACTAAAAATAGTGCTCGCCGATGTTGAAACCGGTTTGAGCGATTTTCCACGAACCTGTCAGAACCCACACGACGATCCCGGCGGCGACCAGGGCGGCCATTGTCTCGGGCACTCCGGCTTGTAGCTTGTCCTCGATACCGGTCACACCCAGCAACGTCAAGTGCGACTCCAGCATCGCGTATGAGTCGCGTATGCGACGTTCGCGATTCTCCGTCGCCAGCTCCGCCTCGTCGTGCTTCTGCCGCCAGATCTCGTACTCCTGCGCCGTCAGCGTTTTCTTCGCCATCACCAGCGTGCGCAGACCCTGACGCGCGTACGACTGCAAGTACTGTCGGATACTCGCCGAGGCGACGGTGTTCTCGTCGCTCGACGTGAGCGCCGGCAGCATCGTCGTGTCGGCGCCCTTGCTGTACAGCACTATCTCGCCGGTGTGTGGATGCCTGAGCAGCACCGACATGCACTTCCTGTTGGAGTCAAACGGCAGTACCTGCAAGCGTTCGAACAACGATAACAATCAATTCCCTTCTTCTCGCGAGCGACTCCGTCGCGACCTCGTGAACCACCTACGTGAAGTATCTCGAACGCGAGCGTCGACTTGTCCGGGAAGGACACGATCGCGCTACGGGGCGTGCGTTTCACCAGCTTGACGTCGTAAGCGCGCGCCGCGTGAACCAGCGCCAGCTCGTCCGGGCTCTCCGCCTCGTAGATCGCCGGGGTCTGCAGCAACTCGTCGCCGTTCTTCGCCGCGTCCGGGCTACGTCCCTTCGGTCCCTCCGGCGATGGTTTCCGTCCCAGCAGCCCGATGCCCAGGCTCGGTATCGACGTTACGTTCAGCAACTTTGGCCTACGAAGATATCGGCCCGTTAATACCCTCGTATATCTCGCGCTTCGCCGAGCGACATACCAACCTGGAGATTTTAAACGGGAATTTCGGAGTATCGTCGAACGTATTGGCCGTGCTAATTACTGGCGACACTGGTGACAAGGTGCGAACAGCTCTGGTGCTCGGGGACAGCGGTACTGGTGGCGAATTCACCGTCGGGAATGAGCTCGCGTCCCTTTCCATTATTCTGTCGAATGCCACGACGTTAATATCGCGAAGAAAAATTAATTGGCGACAAATGAGATCTAATCTCTCCATAGACGCGAAAATAGTCGTATTTAATTATCTTCTTTTTTCTCATCAAAGACGAAACATTTATGTTTTATTCTTCTTCATTCCTTCATTGAGCTAACGTATACAAACCTCGTAGGGCCAGTTCCATTTTTTTGAGGTTCCTCGATGACCCCGCTAGAGTTCATAATATCGTGATGCGGTTGAGAATTTACGACAACCGTGTTACACGTGGCTAAGACAATAAGAAACTCCTGTAAGCGATGTCGAAATGTACCTATGAGCAGGTCCTCTTTAAGCCGCGAGCAGGGAAGTAGATTCTCGTTGTCGCCCATGTGCGAATAATCCTGGCCGCCTACCGCGCATCTCCTAAATAGCATTTTGTTCTCCGTAAGGGTGCCGGTCTTGTCGGAAAAGACGTACTGTACCTGTCGTTCAATAATGATATTCCAAGTAAATAACGTAGAAAAGGCTAAAGATTACAAACAACGATCGCGTACCATTTAAATATTGAATGTAATCAGGTTACATTTATTAAACGTAAAAATGTGAAATATTAATTCCAGGATACAAATGTCTCTCACTTCTTCTCGAGAGAACTTTCGCAAAATATTGTTCGCGGGCAAATTCGTCGAGTCCCTTTCGCGGCCGGATTAATTCTTCGTTTTCAAAATTTTGTCGACGTAATGTTTTTTTCCCCCGTAATAGAACGCGTGCGGAATCGTCGAGTCCTTTTCAATTTTGTAAGTAGGACTCACACGTCCCAGCCGTCATGAAAGGGTTAATATAAATTGCCGCACTCACTTGGCCTAGTTCCTCCGTGATATTCAGCGCGCGGCACTCCGCCTTACGGCCGGTTTCCGTGTCGTGGAGGGCCGGGTCGTGGCCGATGTGGTACACCTGTCCCACCTTGGCCATCTCGATCGTCACGTACAGGCTGAGCGGTATCATCACTTGGAATATTATGACGAACGTCAGGAAGGTCAGTAGGCTCTCGTAGATCGGCTCCTGCATCACCGGCAGAAACGGCACCATCGACAGACCCGTGTACGTGGACAGCCAGAATCGGCAGCCGAACGCGCCGATGACGCACAGTACCATCAGTATCACCACGCACCACTTGACGTCCCTGTTCATGTATCTCTCCAGACGAGAACGCTGAAATGACGTTGCGCGTTGCATCGTTTGTTTGATTATTTTGATTAGCCCCAAGTTATAGCGAATTCGGTTGCTTGCACTAGAGCGCACTGAGTGCGCACTAAGGCTCGTTTACAGTCAAATCTTCTATTAAAGGCTCGTCTTAGATATCTGTTGAAATATTGCTTAGCCAGTAAAATGATCTGCAAAGCATTCGTGCGAATCATGTTTTTTAATTAATACTTTTTCAACGTGCATTTAAGACGAAGTTAAATATAAGATTAGCTTCTTCAAATTGCCAGTATAACAATGAAAGACAAACGCGAGGATGTCATCTTTATACTGTTATTGCGACAAATTACCACATGCCTCAGTGGTCGAATTGGTGAGATGCCCGCCTAGAGAGTACGGGAGGTCCAGGTTCAAATCCTGGCTGAGGTAATATTTTTCGCAAGAAATTTTCTGCATTGACCGATTAGTTAACAAATGTGGCCAGCCGTGGTCGAATGAAATTTGGAACTTTAAATGTAAGAATTGACTGTAAACAAGCCTCAGTGCGCGCTCGGTGCGCACTAGTGCAAGCAACCGAATTCGCTGTTAGATACTCGTTCCCTTTGGCATTTACCTTGTACCTGGGTCCACCGTTATTCAGCAACGCCTTGGTCTCGTGGCCGGCGTATATGACTATGCCCTCGACGAAGTCGGTGTTCTTCAACACGCATTCCCTGAGTAGAAGGTTTTCCGTGGACACGGGCACCCTGCCGCCGCTCGGGTGCACCACGGCGCCGTGAAACCTAACAAACGCGCCAGTGGGATCACTCTGGTAATCCGGTTAATTCCGTCTAAACGTTATCGCGGCAATAAACGCGACACGAGCGCGTTTCTCAGAATAAATCGCAAAAACATGGAGTCAAATTTCACGTTAAAGATGTAAAAGGCGGAAACCGGTCAGATTCTTTTTTTATTTTTAGAAATCAACGACTCGTCTAAGGAATGTGAAAATAACAAACAGCTTGCGATCTTACATCGGACACGATAAATAATCGTGTAATATTTACCTATATATTCTAGTACTTGGCTGATCGACCTCGACTACCGATCGGAACTTGGAAGGCTGAAAGGTATCCTGCAGATCGAGAAAACCCCGGACAACCTGGCGTTGCTTGAGATTCGACTCGCCGTCGAGGTTGCATGTATCGAGGTAAGCTAATCCCTGAGGATCGCTACTCCGCAGCAGCAAGAGATCGGCCGGTACCAGTTCGTTGTTCGAGAGGTGAACCAGATCACCCACCTTGACATCTTTCCACGCCACCTTCATATATCTGTCGCCCTCGCTACAAAGAAACCGCGAGAAATCTTGTTAAGAAACACACATGCGATCAATTAACCTTTGGTTAGCAGTTAACCGACATTTGTGGAACTGACCCTCAGGCCGAAAAATGCGTCAATCGCGACGAGTAGGTAAACGGCAATACAATTAAAAAGTTTGCGCGATGAATAAATTACTCTCACATCTGCGACGTTTCTTAATTTCACCGTCCGCAATTACGTAAATTGTATTTCGCGGCTTCGCAATAAAGATCTGATTGTACGCCCGATGACTAAGAGACCGTTAACATTTCTCTAATAGAGCACAGCCTGTTTCATTTAATAAGCTCGGCTTATCATAGCGAAATGCGCGTCTGTTTTCACTAAATTAATTAAATAACTTGCATAAGTCATTGGATTCAAATAAATATCTGTTTCTTTCGCACAGGTGGGGAAATTGAGATGAGTGAAATTATATATAAACATCTTACTTAACGAGTTGACGACGCTCGGCAAATCCTTCTATTGCATAAAAGAACTCGTAAGGCTACTCTACTGTCGTCACCGCAAAAATGAACGTTGCGCGCGGCTTCAAATGCAAATGTTTGTTAAGATCGCAACGAGCTCTGTTTGTACAGCGAGGCATGTGGGTTCGGCAATGAGTAATTATCATTTGCCTGACCGTCGTGACGGAAAATTAGTAAATATCGTGAATATAATCGAAACTAACGAACAGTATGAACACACGAAAAAATTAAAAAGGCTTCTTCAGTCTCCTCTTCCTTTCGTCTCGACTAAACACTGACAATTGTTTTAACGTTACAACATGTCGAGTATCAAGTATAAAAATCTAGTCTAGGAGACGTATCAGACTGTAATCGGCTTTCTGTACCTAATAACTGAGCCAATGATTGATACGCGAAATATTGATACGAAACCACATTGCGAAAGAATCTCGTGAAAACATAATTTCTCATTGTCCTCTCGAGCCTTCTCGGCGCGGAATCCCGGCGAATAGGTCTAGAGGCGACCTTGCGTGATTAATTCAGAAAAGATTCATCTCTCTCGAGTATTCTCCGAGTATGACGAAACAGCCGGTTGACGATATTTAATTGAAGCACATGGAGCGAGGGTATCCAAGACTGTACGACCCTGAACGCAACCGTCACGTCCATTCTCGTTTGATCGGAACGAAACGAAATTGAGACGACGGCTGGGGACGATCATCGGAGACGACCTTCGAGAACCGCGGGTCCTCGCGGCGAAACGATATCTCGACATTTCAACACGGTGGATTCACCGAGGGATTGGCGAACGGGATTCATTTCGAGAAGAACGAGAAAAATGCCGTTTGTTTTATTACAAGGCCTTCCAGACGGGGCTAAATGATGCAAATTCTTTTGTTCGCCTTGGAAGATAATAGGAGAAAAGGGACACCATTCTTGCCTCTGCCCCGCTCGCTTTTTCGCCTCGTTCGGTATAACAAATCATTGCGAGCGCTCGCATTTTGCACCGCGTGTCGGTATCGGTGTCGCGATTAAGCGGTTCCTTTTTTGTCGCGGATTTGTGCCGTTTCCTGCGAAGGAGCGACGCGGATGTTTTGTGCACATAGCGCGAATACACGAGCTAATTACGCAATTACATACGCAACCTGTCTGACGTTATAATCGTCGCACATATGCATAATACGATGATCGAATGCATTCTATATAATTCGTCCGCGAATACAATGTGGCAAAAACAATGTCCGCTAAACATAGGCCGATAAAATACATAACAGGTTTTTCTGCACGGTGCGGTGCATTACGTAAGCAACGTGTCTGCGTTTCCCGGCACGTCATATTAAAGCGGGACGATTAATCTGTCGGGATCATTCAATTGTTTAGCAATTCCTGAAATAAGCCTGTCAACTTTTCCAAACGCACGGGTGTTTTTTCCTGTTTTTTTTTTTATTAGTTGCACTCGCTCGTTCAAACGCACCGCGTACGCTGGCACCGCGTTCGTTATCGCCGGTCATATACTCGTAATAATTCCAGGATAACGGTTTTTAACCGCACCATAATTGTAAAAGATAACGAGTCAAGGATAACTTGGTAGTTACGTGTTTCACTCTTATCAAAATTCACGGAAGTTCAACGGATATTTCAAGGAAGTTTTAGGCCTTTCGACTTATTGTCAGCGTTCTCTTAACGTTGTTACTTGGCCTTCAAATCGTTACGACTTTAAACCGCGAGGAAACGACGGAATGCTTGCAAAATTCTGTTCTACATTTATCTATGCACACACGGGGTTGCTTTTATTACTTAAAAATTGTAGCTAAACCCGCCAAAATAAAGGAAACCAACTCTGGGGAAAAAAAGACAGTTAGCAACCCATTTTGGGGCCCACAATTAGTAATCGAATTATTTGGATTGTTCGTAAATCTAATCTTTTACGAATTTTACCTCGCGCAACTTGTATAATTTAATTATTTGGATATGTTTTATTAGAAGAAAAAACATTTTTATCTTCTCTGCAAAAGTATCTTACAAAGAAACAGTCCAAATTTTTTCCAGAGTAAAGTTTCGAACAATCCAAACAATTCGATTACTAATTGTGGGCCCCAAAATGGGTTGCTTTTTTCGCCCAGAGAAGATATCTATTAAATGGGAGAAAATTGGAAAATCTGCGTACTGTTTCATCGGGTACGTTCGAGAACGAAGGGAATGATTTGCGGCTAAAATACTTGCACCGGCGAAACATTTATAATTATGTCTTTTACGCTGAATATTATTCGTGTCGGAAGCTTCCCACGAGACTGTCTCTATATACGGATTTGCTGGCAACACGTCGATATTTCAGGCTCTCGAACGCATTTCGGAGAAACGATATAGTTAGGATACGCAAGCACACACGCATGACATACGTTTACACCCGCATCGCATGACGTAACCGATGACATCACTCGCCGGTTTAACGGCACTCGGAAAGCTTTGCAAGAGGAAAAAGAGAGCTGGGTGTATTACCTTGCCGTCTCAATTTATCTCCAGAATGTAATCGGGAGAACCGTATTAAATGTTTAAAAGTTGCTCGCGTTGCGAGAGGTGTATCGGCTTTCCCGGCGGATTCACGCGGGGAAGGAGGCTTCTAAAGTGGGATATGCCGAGTAGACGGTCCTGCGGCTTCGGGATTTACAAGTTTTAATGCAATGGCATGCCTAACGGCCGCCACAACAACGAAACTATCGACGAAGGTCAATAGCTGTACGTTCGAGCAATCGGTGTCAAATAGGCGAGGCAAGTGCGATGATTAACGGCTCGCACACGCGAAACGACACTTGCTCCGATACGGCCGGAGACACTTTTGTTTAACGTGATTTTAACGGTACTCCAGACCGGTTTGGCTAAATTACAGTAATTTCCATTTAACCGAAGGAAGGCTTTTTATTGTCTTTTCCCGCGTCAACTTTTCTTTTATTTTATCGAATGATTATAAATGTTGAAATTAAAGCAGACTCGGAAAAAATTTCAAGCGTTTCTCGATTCGTGGACATTTTGAATTTCTGAAATAGCATATCTACAATGTGTGCATTTACTGAAATTTAAAGGTAAATCTTGTAAGAGCAGAGATTAAAATAGGATTCGAATTAACAATGAGTACGTACAGATTAAGCAGCGCTTTCGCTCAGCTGCTGCGCCGTGTAGCAAATAATGATACACTCCGTTGCTAAGAATTTTGAAGAATGAGCCACGCGAACGAAGAGAGAAAGTCAATTTCATCAAGTTATTTAAATCAGCTATCAAACTGAAATAAAAAGGAGTCGATCTCGTTACTTCGAAGAGACCCATGGCTTTCCACCGAAGTCGCACGCATACACGTGGAAAAACGCATATAAAACGCACACGGCTCGCAGAGGCGCGTATCGAGGGAGGAGTTGCGTAATTACGTAAGAAAAATACACGCGCGCGGTAGACTAACAAGCGGAATCGGCAGATTGTAAGGCACGCGTCGTGAGACGAGATCAAAAGGGGTAATGGCAATAAATGCGAATGTCAAGGCCTCCGGCGCACGAGACGGATCAGAATCGACCTGGCCGTGAGTGCAAGAGGAAAAGAGAGAGCGGAGTCGCTCGCACTATTATGCGGACACGTTGCGTTCAGAAAACGCGCTAGAGTCCGACGATTAGTGGGGCGCGTGTAGTCACGACTCGAAGAATCGCCGCCGCCGACAGCGTAATTTTGAGTCGATCGCGCTTTCCGATAGAGAACACGCGAATGCATCGGCAGGTAGTGCGTCCAGCCTACATCGGAGATCCGCGTAGTAATCGGGCCACGTAAAGCGATTCAAATTTCTTCTCGGACACGAGATAAATATATAATCATCTCGTTATCGCGCGCAACGTGATTCCCTTTGTCATAATCGTAGCGATACTTGAGGTCGTAGATATATTGGAACCGGGACTGCCGTTACAAATTATAGAACGATCTTGTAACGCGAGCGTGATCGGGAACGCGAATTAATATTGAAGAGGTAATCGACGTGGGTGACGCGTGACGGGACACGTCGAAGGGCAAGGTCGCCCGACGAAATCCGGGGAGACGTCGTATCGGAATTGCCAGGTCATCGATCAATTTTCCGATTACGTTGCATTATAAACGAGGGTTCGTGACGATCGTGAAGCTGCCCACGTTGCACGAACGATCGAAACGACGAACGATTAGGCCAGGCCGGCTAACGGCAGCTAAACACAATTATATACAAAACGGAATATGGAAACTCGCCGCTGGTTTTCATACGCGAATTCGCAGATGTAGATAAAGAACATTACCTTAATTTTCTCGCAATGTTCTCCGAGTATCTCAATTTTCCCTCAATTTCCATCGGTGCAAAATGAGATAAATTTCTGAGCCCGTTATTCTTCCATTGTCTCGTGCCCAAATAGCACGAAGGCGAACATAAGTTCATAGAGATTCTCTGGCAAAAAAAAGACAGCGACCCATTTTGAGGTCCACAATTAGTAATCGAATTATTTCGATTGTTCGTAACTCTAATCTTTTACGAATTTTACCCCGTGTAACTAAAAATCGCAATTAGCTATTCCATTCTATATCCAACATTTTTAAGTAATACTAATCAATTCTCTCAATTAGTTCTGTCGACATTCAGTAACGCAAAGATAATTTTCACTCAAGATGCACTAACCGAAATGTTAAGTTGCCCAACTACAAAAAAAAACGGTCGAAATTTTTCCCAGAGTAGAGTTACGAACAATCCAAATAAATCGTGGGTTGCTGTATTTTTTTTCCTAGAGTTTGATTTTCAAGAAAAAAAATACCCGCAGAACTAGAAAGCTGAATAATCCAAATCGCATGTGACGACTCTCAATAAAACAAATAGTAAGGTAGGCAGAAAGGGCCAGTGCGAGGGCCAACCGCAGGTGTCCGTGCGAAATTATCCAATATGCGAAATTATCCAAAGGGTCAAAATAAACTACTTTGCGAATTCATGTGACAGAATCTGTTCTATCTGGGGGATAGAAAAGATAAGCTGCCTCGTGAGCAATCAAAATGATCGCGCGCAGGCAATAATCTCTGCGTCTAATTAATTGAATCTCTTACAGCTATGAAGACCGCGAGACTTCACCTCGACGGCGGGGGATTCGAATGAGCGTTAACAAGGCTTATCATCCCCGAAACTGTTGCGAGTCACGAGACGATATTTCGGAGTTCGTTACCCCCGTCGTTCGGCTATGCGATCCAAGCCGTCGTCCTCGCGTTGCAACCAACCACGTGGCATGCGTACATACGCGTTTATCGGCGCAAGCGTGCCGGCCAACCGCGCGCGGCGAATTCTAGCTGATTCGATCGCGCGTGCAACAACCCGCGCTTACGTGACACGATCGTTCGCCTGCGGCATTTCGACGATGCACCAGGCGACGAGACCAGCGCACGTGTTGCTCCGATGACGCGCGTTAACGCGCGTTAACCGCGCGCGGGCCGACCTTATCCAAATTGTCGCCCGAGACCGTTGCTCGCCGCGTCGATAGATAAGCAATCCCGTTGTAGCCGGGCTGGCGGCACGGCGATTAAACAATCAGCTTTTATTCACTTAAGCTTACAGCCAGAAAGTGGGACTTGGTTTACAATAAAATCTTAACTCATTCATCCATCCACTCCTCACAACTCTATTATTATAATATTCGCTATCTACCTATTATCCTATCCGCTCCTAAATCTATCTATCTATACTATAACTACTTATCGCCGCTTTTAACATCTATTTATTTATTTATTATCACAATTATATCACAATTTGTGTCGCCGAACTTCCATTTCCCTGCCCCTGACAAGTTATCCTTTTAATCCTTTCCTTTTCCTTCCATATTTTACATAATATTTTTCCCTTATTATCATCTGCTACGTCATTATACAGTCTCTCCAATTTCTCTTCCACGCTATTACCCATCTCTATAAACCATTCCGTCGTTATTTTACAATCCGTTAC